TTCATATATATATATATATATATATATATATATATATATATATATATATATATATATAATACATATAAATATATAAAATATATGAAAAATACATGTGGGTATTCAAATGAAAGCTCTTGATGAGTGTAACATCAAGATGAGCTTATATCTTAAAAAATGTCAAGAGTTCCCAAGATACAATGTAATTTCTTAATTACAGATTTACTCAATTAATTACTTTTCAAAATAATTTCAGTCGGAGAACTATGACACTCTTCTGGGCTTCAATATGCAAACATACCGCAGCTCAAAAAATCTGTGGAAAGCATGCGTAGAGCACCACACGTTCTTCCGACTCCACAGCCCGAAAATGCGACCAAGAAGATTCCCTCTGACTCTCAGCAGTCGGTTTACTTACTCGGGACGAACCGAGTTCCAAACGGTCGAGGACGGAAAGCATCGTGCCAGAGTTGAAAGAACATTCATCAGGTATTTTTTTATCTTAAACAAAATAAAAATATAAATATTTATAATTAATTATTTTTAATAGATCACCGAGTAAGCGAATAGTTCACGGGGTGAACCAAGTGCCAATTGAAGAGAAAGGTAAAGTTGTAAGCGCTCCAGCAAGACCTCCCAGACCTTACGACAATAAAGTCCAGTCCCTAGGGTCGCGAGAACCGCGACAAGCTTGGGTCGAGGGGAACAACAGTGATGAGTATGTCTAAAATAATAATAATAATAATAATAATAATAAATAAAAATAGTATTTTAATTATTAAATGTCTAAAAAATTTTTTTGATGATAAAGTACTTAGCTAAGATTTGAATTTTAGTTTTATAAAACTCTGTTGCATGTTTTTTAATTTTGAATCCATGTTCGCGTACACAGTGAGGGTGGTTTTTTGTCCCTCAGAGAGGAGATAAACACGAGCACTCACACTCAAGGCGGAGCATTTTCCCCAGTACTGGGCTCAAGAATCCTCAGTTACGTTGATGACGACACCGCTGAGAGAAATATTTACGATTTGCCGGATTACAGCGAGCCGACTAGTTCTCCAGCGCCACAGGTGAGTAATTGGATTAATTAATAATTAAACTAGTCATTAACTACGACTTACTTTTTATCATAGTCATAAGTCATTAAATATCAATGTTGAGCTACATAACTATACCGTCAGTGTTTGATAAAACTTAATATTGATCATTTAAATATCTAATAAATGTTTTATCAAATAATTAAAATATTAAATTAATAGATTCTTGATGATGGCTTGGTGACGATAAGATTGACACCTGATGAGCAAGGCCGATTTGGCTTCAATGTGAAAGGAGGTCTGGACCTTGATATACCTATCTTGGTGTCTCGAGTTGCGCCAAACACACCTGCTGATCGGTGTTATCCTAAGTTAAATGAAGGCGATCAGGCAAGTCATTATTTTTTTCTATATCATTAGATACATCATTAAGAAATGACCTTGTATCTTGTGAAATATTGACATTTTTAAAGATATAAGCTCATCCTGATGTTATACTCATCAAGACCTTTCATTTGAGTACCCACATGTATTTTTCATATATTTTATATATTTATATATATCGTATATATGTATATATAAAAAATATATCAAAATGCATGTGGGTACTCCAATGAAAGATTTTAATGAGTAGAACATCAGGATGAGCTTATATCTTTATAAATATCAATAGTTGAGAAATGATCTTGTCTGTTGTGAACTATTTACATTTTTAAAGATATAAGCTCATCCTGATGTTACACTCATCGAGGCTTTTCATTTGAGTACCCACATGTATTTTTCATATATTTTATATATTTATATATTTCATAAATATCATATATATAAAATATATAAAAAATACCATGTTTGTACTTAAATGAAAGGTCTCGATTAGTGTAACGTCAGGATGAGCTTATTCCTTTAAAAATATTAATAATTAAGAAATGAGCTTGTATTTTGTGAAATATTGACATTTTACAAAATATAAGCTCACCTAGACATTATATTCATCAAGACCTTTCATTTGAGTACCCACATCAATTTTTTATATATTTTATATATTTATGTATATCATATATTTTATATATTTATATATCATATATATGTATATATGAAAAATATATCGAAATTGCATGTGGGTACTCAAATGAAAGCTCTTGATAAGTGTAACATCAGGATGAGCTTATATCTTCAAAAATATCAATAATTAAGTAATGAGCTTGTATCTTATGAAATATTGACATTTTCCAAAATATAAGCTTACCTAGACATTATATTCATCAAGACCTTTTCATTTGATTACCCACATCAATTTTTCTATTATATTTTATATATTTATATATATCATATATATGTATATATGAAAAATATATCAAAATTGCATGTGGGTACTCCAATGAAAGCCCTTGAAGAGTATAACATCAGGATGAACTTATATCTTAAGAAACATCAATAGTCAAGAAAATACAGTACATTTAACAAGATTCATATTTAATAGTGCAAAACTTTATTTAACTTTATAATTCACAAGTCATGGCAGTTTATATATTTACATATATTATATAATCATATATATGTATATATGAAAAATATATCGAAATTGCATGTAGGGTACTCAAATGAAAGCTCTTGATAAGTGTAACATCAGGATGAGCTTATATCTTCAAAAATATCAATAATTAAGTAATGAGCTTGTATCTTATGAAATATTGACATTTTCCAAAATATAAGCTTACCTAGACATTATATTCATCAAGACCTTTCATTTGATTACCCACATCAATTTTTCATATATTTTATATATTTATATATATCATATATATGTATATATGAAAAATATATCAAAATTGCATGTGGGTACTCCAATGAAAGCCCTTGAAGAGTATAACATCAGGATGAACTTATATCTTAAGAAACATCAATAGTCAAGAAAATACAGTACAATTTAACAAGATTCATTATTTAATAGTGCAAAACTTTATTTATTTATAATTCACAAGTCATGGCAGTCACATAGTGACTGCAAGGTTGCTAGTTTTTATTTTATGTTATTAGATCATTGTAATTTTTTATTTTTAATTAGGTTTTGTACATCAACGGTATCGACGTCAACGGAATGCTGCATGAACACGTCGTTAATTTGATAAGACAGTCAAGGGATACGGGGAATGGCGAGTTGACCTTGACTGTTCGTCCCAATGCGCTCTACAACGCACTTGCTGGAACTGACGAAGCTTCTGAAGAAGAACCTCCCTATAGGTAATTCAAAAATCTAATACAATATTTTTTTAATTAAATTTATTTATTTAATATTAAATATTAATCAAACTAGATACGTACCTGACGCACCACATTCAGCGGTTGGCTCAGACGCTCTGGCCCAATCAATGTTACTCCTGGCAGACGGCCTCGCCAGCGGAGCCCTGATAGCCCAGTACGAGCAACTCTACCGGAAGAACCCGGAACTGACATCCTTGGAGTCAAAGAAAGCCGAGAACCAGAACAAAAACCGGTACCGAGATATTTCGCCGTATGATGTCACAAGAGTTATTCTCATGGGATGTGTTAATGGCGATTATATAAACGCGAATTACGTCAACATGGAGATTCCCGGGTCGGGGATTATAAACCGGTACATCGCGACCCAGGGCCCGTTGTCTTCCACAGTTGCTGATTTTTGGCAAATGGTCCTAGAAGCTGGCAGCACTCTGGTAGTGATGTTGACCACGCTTGTAGAAAGAGGACGTACTAAGTGTCACCAGTACTGGCCGGCTCTAAATGAAACTCTGACTCTGAGGAACTTGATGCTAATCTCGACGTCGGAAAAAATTGAAGACTTTTTTGTTTTTCGTGAATTTATTTTGCGGGATGTTAATGTAATTTTTATTTATTATCTATATTATTAAGAGACTAAGAAAAATTTTGTGTCCAGGATACATAATTAAGAAATTACCTTGTATCTTGAGAAATATTTACATTTTTAAAGATATAAGCTTATCCCGATGTTATGCTCATCAAGACCTTTCATTTAAGTACCCACATCAATTTTTTATATATTTTATATATTTATATATATATTATATATATGTATATATAAAAAATATATTAAAAGTGCATGTGGGTATTCAAATGAAAGATCTTAATGAGTAGAACATCAGGATGAGCTTATATCTTTAAAAATATCAATAGTTGAGAAATGATCTTGTTTGTATGTTGTGAACTATTGATATTTTTAAAGATATAAGCTCATCCTGATGTTACACTCATCGAGACCTTTCATTTGAGTACCCACATCAATTTCTCATATATTTTATATATTTATATTTATTATATATGTGTATATATGAAAAATATATAAAAACTTCATGTGGGTACTCAAATGATAGCTCTTGATGAATAGAACATCAGGATGAGCTTAGATTTTTAAAAATATCAATGATTAACAAACTACCTTGTATTTTGTCAACTACAGACATTTTTAAAGATATAAGCTCATCTCAATATTACACTCATCAAGACCTTTCATTTGAGTACTCACACGCATTTATGATATATTTTTCATATATACATATATATAAATATATAAAAAATTGATGTGGTACTCAAATAAAAGCTCTTGATGGGTAGAACATCAAGATGAGCTTATTTTTTAAAAATGTCAATAGTTAAGAAATGACTTTGTATCTCGTGAACTATTGACATTTTCAAAGATATAAGCTCACCCCGATGTTACCCTTATCGAGACCTTTCATTTGAGTACCCACATTAATTTTTCATATATTCCATATATTTATATATATTATATATATGTATATATGAAAAATATACCGGGTACTCAAATGAAAGCTTTTGATGAGTAGAACATCAAGATGAGCTTATTTCTTAAAAATGTCAATAATTAAGAAATGACCTTGTATCTCGTGAACTATTGACATTTTTGAAGATATAAGCTCATCTCTGTGTTACACTCATCAAGACCTTTCATTGGAGTACCCACACCAATTTCTCATATATTTTATATATTTATATATATATTATATATATGTATATATGAAAAATATATAAAAAATGCATGTGGGTACTCAAATGAAAGCTCTTGATGAGCGTAACATCAGGATGAGCTTATATCTTAAAAAACGTCAATATTTAAGAAAGCACAGTGCAATTTAAAAAAAATCATTATTCAATAAAACAAAATTATTAAAATTTTCAGACTGGAGAAGAACGAGATATAACACACATGCAATATTGCGGATGGCCCGACCACGGAGTTCCCAGCGACTGGCGTCAGTTTACTAAATTTACAGAACGCGTCCGAGCTGCCAGAACAGGAATGGTCGAACCAGCTGTTGTCCACTGCTCGGCAGGTATCGGACGCACCGGAGTTCTGGTGTTGATGGAAACGGCTTTGTGTCTTATAGAAGCCAACCAGCCTGTCTATCCGCTGGATATTGTTAGATCTATGAGAGATCAACGCGCAATGATGATTCAAAATGCTGTATGTATTATTTATTTCTTAATACGGAAAATCTTTGAATATTTAAAAAAATTCCTGATGAATTATTAATGAAGGTAAATTTATAAATATATATTTACAGAGTCAGTACAAGTTTGTCTGTGAAGCGGTCCATAAAGCATACACCGAGGGTATCGCAAAACCTCTTATAGAATTTAGTAGATAAGAATAAATTTAAAAATGAAAATGGAAAATAAGAAAGCACAAATGTCCAAGGCTTTTTTTAAATAAATTTAAAAGGTTCTTTTTTTTTTTTATTTTAATAAATAGACAATAATTATATAAATATTTATTAAAGGTAGCGACGGACATGTGATAGTCCGATAGAAGTAACCCACCAGTGAAGACAACTTTTTAAATAATTTATAAATTAGGAAACTTTAAATAACATTCTTCCAACCGATTTATTATTCTTTATTAAATAATAATAATTAATAAATATTAAGCTCAATAAATATTTAACAGTTAGAGTAACAACTTATGTGGAGAATTGTTGGAAAGTATCCACCTTTTTCATCTATATTTTTTTACCATTAATTAATAAGCAAAACTTAAGATTTTATTATTTATCTCGGATATGTAAATAATTATTATCAAATAAAATTGTGCCAGAAACTAAAGGTAGCTATATAATAATATAAGTGCCGGAAAATAAAATTGTTTATTTTAAAAATATTGTCAATTAAATTGTAAGGGCGCATAAGAGTTGGTAGCTGTCTAGTCTCATTGATTTGTACTTTTTAATTATCAAATAAAGTAATCATTTTTTGTATATTTGTATATTTGAATTTTTTTTTTTTTTTTCTTTTTGGTAAATAGGTTTTATTTTAGAGAATTGAGGTCAAATGGGAGTATTGGGAGTATTATACTTGCCACCAGATCCCTTCTCCCGGGTCAAGTAAGAGGACGTTAAGACCCGCTATATACAATGCAAGGTGTTCATCACCACCACCAGTTATACATACTTTAAGAAACCAACCGTGTATATAAGCTGATCCGTACCTTCGATTTCACTTAGTCTTCTTTGAGTTTCTGTTTTTACGATCATATTCACCGTAAGTTTTTTTTTTTTGTAATAGAATTTTTTTTGTGGTGTTTTAATAATTTTTTTTATAAAAATTTAATTTATTAATTATTTAATTTTTTTACTATAAAAATTTGTATTTTTTTTTTTTTATTAAATTTAATTTAAAAATATTTTTTTATTTTTTTTAAATTTTATAATTTTTGTGAAAGTTTTTTTTTACTTAAAAATTGAAATTTATATTTTTTTTTTTAATAAAAATTATATTAAATTTTATAACTATAAAAATTTTTATTTATTTTTTTTAAATTAAATTAAATTTTATAATTTTTCTGAAATTTTTTTTTACTTCAAAATTGAAGTTTTTTATTTTTTTTTATAAAAATGAATATTAAAATTTATTACTATAAAAATTTTTTCTTAATTTAATTGAATTATAAAATTTTTAATTTTTTTTTAATAAAAATTATATTGAATTTTATTACTATAAAAATTTTTATTTATTTATTTTTTTAATTAAATTTAATGACTAAAAATTAAAAAAAAAAAAAATTAAATTTTATAATTTTTATAAAATTTTTTTTTACTTAAAAATTGAAATTTTCTTTTATAAAAATTAATATTAAATTTTATTATTATAGAAATTTGTGTTTTTTTTTTTAAATTAAATTTAATCACTATAAAAATTTTTATTGACTTTTTTTAAATAAAATAAAATTTTATAATTTTTTTTTACTTAAAAATTGGAATTTTTATAATTATTTATTAAATTTAATTCTTAAAAAAATGTTCCTCAATTTTATTAAAATTTTTTAAAAATTTCAGATGAAGGTACTAGCAATTGCAGTGCTCGCAGTGTTAATCTACACCGTAGCGGGATTCCCAGAACAAGAAGGAGAAGCTCTGGTCCCAGAAGTTTTAGACACCCTGCGAAAAACTCAGCTCGGCCCAAACTCAGAAATCCAGTCCGTAAAATCAGGAATTGAATACAAAGTTGCCGAAAGCCAAACCGGCAAAGTAGACCTCAGTTCAATCTTAGACGGCCTTGTTCCTCCAGAAGTGATAGCCAACCTCCAGCAACAAATCGATGGAATTGGCAACCACTAATTAACTCTAAATCCCTCGCATTGCTCTAATTTATATTGATGTAAGCATTTATATTTTCTTATAAAAAATATTAAAAAAAAACATATTTCTTCTTTATTTTTTCCACCAATTAAATTAAAGACGATTGATAAAAATCAAAGTATCAAAAAGAGAGACCTTGGTCGAGTGAAACCAGAAGTAATAAGTGTCATCAAACGATGCGTCGGAGAAAGCTGTTCAACAGATACTTTCACTTCCTATTATAAACCACCGCAGATCATTTAACTTGTTGTTATACTTGCCAGTATTAATATTCATCATACCCTACTTAGAGTATTATATACTCTTTCGCTTACGAATATATAATAATAATAACAAATAATAATAATAACTTTGCAGTCACTATGTAACTGCCGCAACTTCATAAAATTATGTTTTATTAAATAATGACTTTTGTTAAATTGCACTGTACTTTCTTAAATATTGACATTTGTAAAGATATAAGCTCATCTCGATGTTACACTCATTAAAAGCTTTCATTTGAGTACCCACATGCATTTTTGATATATTTTTCATTTATACATATACATAAATATATAAAATATATGAAAAATTGATGTGGGTACTCAAATGAAAGGTCTTGATGAGTATGAAATCGGGATGAGCTTATATCTTTAAAAATGTCAATATTTCACAAGATACACGGCCATTTCTTAATTAATAATATTTTTGAAAATTTAAGTTCATTCTGATGTTCTACTCATTAAATGCTTTCATTTGAGTACCCACATGCATTTTTGATATATACATATAAAAATTATTTTTTTTTTTAATTATTATTTCTCGATAACAAACCGGTGAGGTGAAACTTTTAGTTTTTAAACTTATTCTAAAAACATTTTTCAAAACTCTCCTACTTTTTTTTCCAATTCTGTCGAGAGAATTTTTTAATATAATACAAAATAGTAGTAGAGACCGGATATTTCACTTTGAATGGGACATGACCGTCGAAATCGCGTACTTTATCTTTAAATATCTCGCAATCTAAACGGTCAGAAATGATAAAATCTAGAATTCATAAATAAAGTTATTTTGAACCCATGAAAAAAATTTCAGCCAAATCTGTCGAAAAGTGGTTTCATGCTGGAACTACCTTAAGCAATCGAGCGCTATTTTGCAGGGTTCGGACGAATATAACAAACACTATTGTGTCAAATTTGGCCATATTTTATTATAGAAATACTTTTTCACGTAATTTTACAGTGTTTCTGCTAGAGAAAAAACTACGTGATATTTGTTAAGACCCCCCCTCCCCTCCCCCTAAGTGAGATTTAGTAAGATTTAGCTTGAACCACACCCCCCCTAGAATACCTCACGTAATTAATGGACGCCCCCTTACATATTTGTTTAAATTTAATTTTAATTTTACTAAGCGATTTTCCTAGGTAGGAAGTTGAATATTAACAAATGCTCTGAAAAAAAAGTATCGTTTTTATCAGTACAAAGTATAATCCAGCAAGTTTTCTGGTAGTTAATAGTAATTTTTACTTGACATTTGCACTAACTTTCACAAAAACAATCGCACAAAATTTAAACTTTTGGTTACAAATATGATGAAAAATATTATACGTGCCAACGACAAAAGTAGGACATTCAAACCCGCGTGTAAAATTATCTCCCGACCCTAAGTGCGTAAATATCTATCACGTATTGATACAACATGAGAATGATTATTTATTACCATCTATTGCTACACTTATAATTTCAATTTTTATTTATTTCAATACTTATTGAAAAATTAAATTATGTCAGTAAAGTGAGAGTATAGTCATGTTGCATTCGGTATTCTGACAATAGTAAATTGAAATATTGTGATAATCAGTGTACGTATAGTGCTAAGCAAAATACCACGTATTGTTAGTAGAATAATCTATATATAAGCAAAAAAACAAAAGACAAGCATTTTCTTTCAATTCATTTGCTTTTTTTTTATTGACCTCGCAATTTGCTAGAACAAAAATTGAGTAAAAAAATTTATTTTTTAGTTGAACATTGACTTATATTGACCATTTGCTTAAGTTCAACTTTCGATTTGAGAAAATCGCTCAGTAGAATTAAAATTAAATTTAAAAAGATATGTAACTGCAATTTCAAGTACGAACATTTTAATCATTGTTAATGAAAGTGTTTTAATCAATAATAATAAAAGTAATAATAACTTATTTTTCTATCGCAAGACAGTCATGGCATTGCAGCTTGCTGTTGTCCTGTTATTGCAACAGAATTTTGTCCTGTTGCTCCCACAGGATAAGTGCTGTTGCTGCAACACGAAAATCATGGTGCTACCACATTTTAAACTAATTCCATTGAAATGCATACAGCACGGTATTTTTTTAACTTCCCAATATGAAAATTAATAATATTGAAAAGAAAAAAGTTATATATTTCAGTCTGATTTTTAGAATGCAAGTTTTCATTAGATCGTCATGTTTTAAGGTCTTAGAAAACTGTTCCAATTATTTCCACCTGGACGTTGTTTTTCATCTCCATAATATCTCAATAGCATTTTTTTCTATTTTTTCTCAATATTTTTTTCTTTTTTATTATGATCGAGAATAAAATTCGTTAGCCGTCGTTGTCAGCTGATACGATGCTAACGATGCCTTTTTTGTCCTTCTTTTTACTAGTTCATTTTTCGCTTTTCGATCTTGGTCCATGTATATCATCTTCATTGTATCAAAAATATTTTTACCATTCAGAATAGAAAAAAAATTGTTTCAGTTATTATAATACTAATTTTTGTTCATATGTTGCATTGTTTATTCATCAGATCTTAAAATCAAATTTTCCAATTGAAAAATAAATAACTTCAATGCTTAAATAAAATGAAAAAATCTACTTATTTGCAAAAGAATTCAGTGTTTAATTTAAGTGGAAAATTAAATTTTTTATAAAACCTTTTTTTTTGTTTTTGCTTTCATTGATTTGTTACTCGATAAGCAAACGAGGAATTTGTTCGTTGACGTATATAAAAACAATGTATTAATTAAACTATC